AATTTTTCCAAATTTTTTGATAAAGGATCATTAAATTGAATTTAATTTTAGTTTCATCAACATCTGGTTTGATTTTAATTGAATTAGTGGCTCGGAATATTTGTGGTTTTGGTACCAAATCTTCTGTACCATAAAAATTTTTTTAAAATTTTGAGAACTTGAATTAAAGTTTAAGCAGCTCTGAAAAATTCTATAAAAAAAACTTAAGAGTAAATAAAAAATATTTAGAACTTAGAAAAATGGCGGTTATAAAAATAAAAGGTTAACATTAAAAATTGGGTACAAAATTTAAAAACAAATTGTATCTATTTGAGAAAACTCAAAGTTCCAAACATTTTGTAGCGTATGTCTTACCCAAAACAAAGTTATTCTTTAATTTCAAATAAAATAACATTCGAAGTTAACTTTTGAATTGAATAAAGCTGCAAAATACATGTGAAAGCAATAGAAAGAGCATAAGATATTAGATATTTAGATCACGTATAGTTACACTAAGTAGAAATAGATAAAACTGACATGTACGAGTACTATATATGTATAAGTTCCTGTATTTTCGCGAATATATGAATTTATTAAGTATTTATTAAAATCCTATATAAACAGAATAAAATTATTTATGTTACAAGCTACTCAGCAGTGGCGTTATAGTGAAAACTCATTTCAAAAATATATGATGCAAAAACCTAGTTTTAATTTTCACTACAAAGCTATGCTGGAACTATCAAATAATATAATTTAAACTTTTGATAATTTATGATTCTTATTAAATTGAGAAATAATTTGGAATATTGACTACTGAATTTTAATTGAATTACGAAAAGATTTTACTCACAATTCATCTTCTACATACATATATGTTTTTTCTTATAATTTTTGAAGGCAAATTCTTTTAAGATCATAATACTTACTACCACATACAAAATATATGTAGATATTCTATAATAAATATTATGTGTGACACACGTTATATAATATTAAATTGTCATATTGACACTTCTGAATAAAAAAATGTAAATCCAGATTTTTTTTTCTTCTTGTTAATATACGAGAATATAAAAATGACCAGAGATAAACCCCATTTTAAAATTAATGACATTTTTGAAATGTATTGAAGGTTGCGTGTGCAATGAAGATGTCATTTTATGCAATTGAATTATTGAATTGATTATATTAAAAAAAAAAAAATAAAGAAAATAAAAATTTAAAGAGATTTTTTTACAATTTTGTGTATTTTTATAGAAAAATTTAAGATGCGTGCTATTAATGACATTTTGTTATTATAATACTTTAAGACTTCCTTATTTCTGACAAAAATTCAATGGTAAAATTATTAGTAAGTAACTTTTATTTAAAATGAATATAACAAAATTTTACACATTCCATAATTTCTAAAATTCTGAAGTAAATTTTGCAAGGAATTGCAAAAATTGCAAAACATTTCTGATGTCGACACATAATCTCTAATTATTTGTTAATCGTTTTCTGTCTAAAACATAAAATATTTCAAATATCTGAATTTTTTTGCGATTAATAAATAATTGTATCCTATATATCAATAGCATCTTCTATTGTTTTTTCTATATTTACCATGTAAATGAACACAATAAATTTCTAATTACAATAAAATATCTAATAAATAAGAAATACCACAAACAATTTGCCTTCAATTTTTATTACATAAAAGGATCATTAAAATGTGTACCCACATCTATTATAGCACAAAGCAAAAAAAAAATAGAAAATGAAAAATCAGTGTAAAAAAGGTAAAAAGAAGATCATATATGTAGGTACTTTTTTTTTTAATCCAAGCAATTGAACAAATTTTATACTACAACGTTCATAATATTGCCAACAAAATAAACAAAAAAAAAATGAAACTCAAACAAATAAACTAAAAATGCATTCAATTTTCTAGATTATTGTTTTTTTTTTTGTTATTAACTATTTTTCGCTCCCAAGTTTTAAGAAACCAAATCTTAAATGCGGTTTCACTAGGTACCATTCAATAGTTAATTCTCAATTCTTTGAATTTAAAATTTATTACCTATAAAAGCATATTAGGTTTAAAGAATAACAAAGAAAAAAATTAAATGCAAAAATAAAAATAACTCTGAGAGGATTGAATAAACGTATAAGAACAACAAAATAAGATAAAAATCCTGTTTTTAAAATTATTTTTTTTTTTTAAATTTGTTATTTAGCAATATTTTCTAGTTATTAAAGACCTCGCTTCGTTCCTTCATCTTGTTATTTTTTTCTCTGTTTATCTCTTTTATTCCCATTTTTTTTATTGTTTCATATGAGCTTTTCCTAAAATATACATATTCTTATTTTTCTCAATTTCTACAATATTTGTTAGCGTACATATGGAATGGACTAGCATTAAAGCGAAATTTAAATTAATATTTAATCACATATGAATAAAAAATGCACAATAAAAAAACTGTTAAATAAACTTGATTTCTTAACATTTTTAACAATAACTCTATGTTTTGCCTTTTTAGAATTAGTTAGTTTGCATCATGTAGTTTGTACATGCACAATATAAATTCATACATACATACTTAAGTACATATATTGTTTTTATGTCATTTTAACATAGGCGATGTTAATAAAAACATAATATAATATCTTGTATAAATCACATATTTTTTACATATGTACTTATTTAATTTTATCCTATATAACATCGTGATATTATTTTACATAATACCTACTAGAACGGTTGAAGAATTAATTCCAAAATCTCTAATATAATTTGAACTTTAATAAACTAAAATTTTGTCTCATTTTATATTTCTCTTTTTTAACTTGTTCAATTACCTTTTTCTACAAAATTTTCAACAGAATATAAATACAGGCATATACACACTTACGTGCATAACTAAAAATACAACACATAAGGCAATAATTAACAAAAAGAAAAAACATCGTTTTCTAGATCTAAAGTTTAAAAATGTTGAAAAAGCAAGAAAAATTAATAAAAATATTTAAAAAGACAAGAAAAAAAAATAATAGTGATAGAAAAAAAATTTAACAGATGTGAAATCCAGTTTACTGTCATGGCCACTCACTCATTCAATTGCTATTATTTAAATAAATAAAAAAAATGTTAATAAAAAAAAATGTTTTGTTTTCTCTCTTTCTCCCTCTCTCTAAATAGTTTTTCCAATTTATTTTTTCATAACAATTCTGAGCTCAATCTGTAATAGATATGTACACAAACTTTAATTTTTCACTCAATCTCAAAAATGAAAAGAGTATCCGTCAAGTGTACTCATATTACTCTCAAATATTTAAAACTGGAAAAATAAACATATCTCTCTCGCATTGGTACCTCTTTACATATTTAACTTGATACTCAAAAATATCGATTAAACAAAATCTTATATATTTTTATTCAAATCCCAAACAATAAGTAAAATATCGAGATTCTGCTGTGTGTTTCAAAAAATTATTTTCTCTTTTTCTCTCGTTAAATAATTTTGTTCTCATTTAAACATGATAGTGTTATTTACGGTAACGCCATTATTTTGGCTTGCGACAGATATGTGTACTAAATTTACACTTGGGTTAATGCAAAAACGATACTCTCCATTTTCTGTATTCGTATTGTTCACCTACTCTTTTAATATTTCTCGTGATAAAATTTACTCTGATATGTCTGTCGCATTCTGAAAATTATTCGCTCTGACTCTTTTCAGTTCATTTTGTTTTAACCAAAACACAGTAATTTTTATTTTGATTTTTTCTGTTCGCTGATTGTTTCGTGTAAATTTTGTAAATTTTTCCTCTCATTTCCATCCGCAACACCATCCAAAAATTTGTTTTATCCATTTTGTCGAAAAATTATATTATTTCTCTTTCCTTTCTTACTCTATTTTTATTCGTTTTTACTACACATCTTTTTCGTTCATATATATTTCATCGACCGAATATACAAAGCGAGTATAATTTTAACATAATATTAGTTCGAGTTAAACGGTTATACGGGAAGGACGTATTTCCTTAAAAATTTTAAAAATCGGAAAAATAAAAACAAAAGAAAAAAAAACCCAAAGCATTGAAAAATTAAATATAAAATTTTTACTTTAACAGTAGAAATATTTTATTAAAATAATGAAAAAACGAAAAAATTTTTATTTTCAAAATAAAATTACAGAATATTAACTTATAATGAAAAAATTATACCATTAGAATGTGAAAATAATTTTAGTTAAAAAAAAAAAAAAATATTCGTTATCACTTTAAAGTTTAATTTAAAGTTGGTTGTTTCAATTCAAATTTAATTAAATCAATACCAAGTGAAAATTAAAGTCTCTTTGAAAAATATTGAAGTGAAGTGGAAATTAGTTTAATTGGTTAATATTATACCTATTTTAGTATATGAAAATTAATAATATTTTAAGCCAACGAAAAAATTAAGAATATTTAATATAGTACATGCCTAGTATATACATAAAATATCAAAAAGAGTGTATACCAGAAATAAAAATGAAAAATACATATATCAAAAAATATAGAAGATATGTAATGCCAATTTAAAGTATGTGCATGATATAAAATTTGAAAATTACTATAATATGAAAGAAATGAAGAAAACAAATTTGTTCCATTTTAAAAGTTTATTAATTATTAGATAATTTTAAATAATACAAATTTCTGAAACAAATATAACATTTTAAAAAAAGTATGAAAAAATTTTAAGTAAAGTAAGAATACAACAATTAGTTATACAACAACTAACAGGAAAACAGTTAAAATGTTTATTGAAAATATAATTTTATGATGAATAAATATTCGTTTTTAGTTCATACTAAATAAAATAATATCTAAAGAAGAATATAATCACAAGTATATTTTTTATTTTATTATATCTTTTATGATAAGTAATTTTGATTTCATTTAAAATTCATTTGTTTTCATATTAGAGAAAAATAAGTAGTAAAAAGTACTAATTTAAATAATAAATAACTAAATTCTTAATATCTAAATGAAAAATGCGCGGCCTAAAATCTAAAAATTTTTTAATTTTCATATTAAAATTAATAATTATTAATTTACTAGATATATCGACATTATTACCACAATCATCCGCTTATAATAGTAATAAGAATGTCGGTAATAATGGTAATATTAATAGATATAGTGAATTAAATAATGGTAATGATATTGGCGGTATTGGTGGTATTGGAAATGATGGTGCAATATCATCATCATTGTCATCTTCTTCATCATCATCATCATCGTCGTTATCATCATCGTCTACAATAACATCAAATCATCACCAATGTTCCTGGTCATATGTTGATACAACAAATGCAATATGCAATTTAAGAACTATAGATCGTAATGGCTTAGATTTACAAGGTGCTGACGGTTTAAGCACTTTAATTATACAGTGTAATGATATATATTTATTTGAAAGTCAATTACCGTTGTTACAAAAGACATCATCAACATCGCAGCAACAACAAAATCCATTTCAAAAATTGCAACAATTAGAAAATTTAAAAATTGAATCGTGTAAATTATTACAATTACCTAAAAATATATTTGATGGTTTAATAACATTAAAAAAATTATATATTCATACAAAAAATTCTGAATGGGGTCCAGGTAAAACATTAGAGTTAAATCCAGCATCATTAAATGGATTAAAACAATTAATTGAATTAGATTTAAGCAACAATAATTTACGATCTTTACCAGTCGGTTTACTATGTCCAATTGGTAATTTACAAATGTTAAATTTAACACATAATCGCATAAGAGCAGCCGAGAATTTAGGTTTTATTGATATGCAATGTAATGCTGGTGGTAGTGAAATACAAATATTAGATCTTAGTTATAATGAATTGAAGCAACTTCCAGAAAATTGGGGTATATCTAAATTACGACGTTTACAGCATTTAAATTTACAATATAATAATTTAACTGAATTATCTGGCGAATCATTAGCGGGTTTAAGTTCATTAAGAATAGTAAATTTAAGTCATAACCATTTAGAAACTTTACCAGATGGTTTATTTGCTGGTTCCAAAGAATTAAGGGAGATCCATTTGCAGTTTAATGAATTGTATGAACTTCCAAAAGGGATTTTTCATAGATTAGAGCAATTATTAATATTAGATTTATCAAGTAATCAATTAACTTCACATCACATTGATAACACAACATTTGCTGGGTTAATACGTTTAATTGTATTGAATTTATCGAATAACGCATTGACACGAATTGATTACCGAACATTTAAAGAACTGTATTTTTTGCAAATTTTGAATTTACGAAATAATTCTATTGGCTATATTGAAGATAATGCATTCTTACCATTATATAATTTACATACCTTAAATTTAGCTGAAAATCGTTTACATACTTTAGATAACAAATTATTTAATGGCTTATTTGTACTATCAAAACTGACACTTAATAATAACTTAATAAGTATTATCGATAACAATGTATTTAAAAACTGTTCTGATTTGAAAGAATTGGATTTAAGTTCGAATCAATTAACTGATGTTCCTGAAGCATTGCAAGATTTATCAATGTTGCGTACACTTGATCTTGGCGAGAACCAATTGACTACATTTATAAATGGTTCATTTCGAAACTTACATCAATTAACTGGATTACGCTTGATCGATAATCAAATTGGGAACATAACAAAGGGGATGTTTTGGGACTTACCACGTTTAAGCGTATTAAATTTAGCTAAAAATCGTATTCAGAGTATTGAACGTGGTTCGTTTGATTATAATATTGAATTGGAAGCTATTCGATTAGACAACAACTTCTTGTCTGACATAAATGGTGTTTTTGCAACACTAGCTTCTCTCTTGTGGTTAAATTTATCTGAAAACCATTTGGTATGGTTCGATTACGCATTTATTCCAAGTAACTTAAAGTGGTTAGATATACATGGTAACTACATTGAAGCACTGGGAAATTATTATAGATTGCAAGAAGAGATACGTGTAAAAACTTTAGACGCTAGTCATAATCGAATAACAGAAATTGGACCAATGTCTATTCCCAACACCATTGAACTGTTGTTTATAAATAATAATTTAATACACACTATACAATACAACAGCTTTGTGGATAAATCAAACTTAGCAAGAGTTGATTTATACGCTAATGCTTTATCTAAGATACAGCTCCAAACATTGAGAATTGCACCAGTCCCACCACACAAACCATTGCCAGAATTTTATTTAGGTGGAAACCCCTTTGAATGTGATTGTTCTATGGAATGGTTACAACGTATTAACAACTTAACATTGAGACAGCATCCAAAAGTTATGGATTTACCCAATGTAGAGTGCGTAATGCCACATTCTAGAGGTTCAGCTATTCGCCCATTAGGGACTTTGAAGCAAACAGATTTCTTATGTCGTTACGAAATACATTGCTTTGCTTTATGTCACTGTTGCGACTTCGATGCTTGTGACTGTGAAATGACATGTCCTAATAACTGCACGTGCTATCATGATCAAATATGGGGCACAAATGTAGTTGATTGTGGCAGTCAGCGAATATCAGAAATGCCAAAACGTTTACCAATGGATTCGACAGCAATTTATTTAGATGGCAATAATTTTCCAATTTTACATACACATACGTTTATTGGACGTAAAAAACTAAAATCGTTATATGTGAACGCGAGTAATGTTGTTACTATTCAGAATCGAACGTTTGCAGGCCTTATTTCACTGAAAATTTTGCATTTAGAGGATAACAACTTGCAAACTTTGCAAGGTTACGAGTTTGAGCATATGCCAAATCTGAAAGAACTATATTTGCAAAATAATAAATTGCAACATATTGAGAACTCAACATTAGCTCCACTTACATCCTTAGAAGTTTTAAGAATTGATGGAAATCAGCTATTTCAGATACCAGTTTGGCACTTGTTAGTTCCACAGTTTAAAAATTTGAAATCACTCGCCTTGGGCAGAAATCAATGGAGCTGCCGTTGTAAATTTCTGCAGGAACTAACCACATACATCGCAGATAACGCATTGATAGTACAAGATTCGCAAGATATTTACTGTATAGATGGGAACACAAAGCGTGAATTAGATTTTAACGCAACTTCAGCATGCAGCGATTACTATGCAGGAGGATCTGTGTTGCAAAACGGCATTCCAAAAACGTATATTCCACTTCTAGCGGCAGCCTTAGCATTAGTTTTCTTATTAGTAATCTCTATTGTTGTTTTTGTTTTCCGTGAATCTGTTCGAATATGGCTCTTCTCTCATTACGGGGTACGTATATTTGGTCCACGGTGTGAAGAATCAGAAAAACTTTATGATGCGGTTTTATTACATTCAGCCAAGGATTCTGAGTTTGTGACACAAAATCTGGTTACAGAATTAGAAACTGGACGTCCGCCTTTAAGAATATGTTTGCAACACAGAGAATTAGCACATGATTCAACACACATGCAGATTTTGGAAGCCGCGAGGGTATCTCGTCGTATAGTCATATTCCTTTCAAGAAATTTTCTTCAAACAGAATGGATTCGCTGTGAATTACGACGGGCAGTACATGAATCATTGCGAGGTAGACCCCACAAGCTAGTAATTATAGAGGAATCTGACGTGCTACTAGAAGCAGAAAACGATGTAGAGTTGCTGCCATATTTAAAAACGTCAGCGGTTAATAGAATACGTCGAACCGATAGAAATTTTTGGGATAGATTGAGATATGCCTTGCCGGTAGAATATCCTTACCGAGGTAATAATTATACAATAGACCATAATCATGAACGAATTAAACAACCATCTAGTCCAGGAATATTATATCGCACTGCCCCACCACCTGCTTATTTTCCAGATGGCGAAGACCCAAATTATTCGTCAGCAACAACTGCAACCCCTAGTCCAAGACCTAATAGGCGGGGTGCCCCTGGTGACGTATTTCATCCACAACAGTCAAATTCACCACATCATAGTAATCAACAACAATTACAACAGCAGCAACAACAACAACAGCAATTAATACGCCACCAACAGTATGGTGGTAGTATAGGAAATCATTTACAGCAACAAGCACAACAACAGCAACAGTATAATCCAAATCGACCACCGTCTGAACATATTTACTCAAGTATCGATTCCGATTATAGTACATTAGATAATGAAAATTTGATGATGATGATACCACCACCTCCATCTAATGTTGGGATTCCAGGCTCAATGAATGCCAACACAATACACAGATTGCAAATGCAACACCAAATGCCGTTAACACAACAACGGCAGCCTCAACATAGCTCGCAAACTTGGCGACCTATATCAACGGTAGGCCATTCTAGTGGAAATGTTAGCAGTGGTAGTAATATTTTGGGTAATAGTTCTAGTAGTTCTGGACAACCGCCACCTAGTGCTCATCATGTTCAAGCTTATTTGGTGTAAAATGTAAATTTTGTATACTATACATTAACATTATTATTACTTAATAGGAATTTTTATTTTCAAATATTTAATTTATACATAACTAATGGATAATTAATTATTAAAACCTACAATATAAATATAAAAAGTAATAGCTCTATTTAAAATACGAAAATTTTTAAATGTTTGAATTGTTTGTCAATTTTTTAGAAATTAATGTAAATAGATTTTTATTATGTTTTCGTTTTTTTTTCTTTTCCTTTATAAAAAATTTCATATAGCTATTATGTAAATACATAAGTATGTATTCAAGTATTATACAATATGAAAATATTAATTTTTAATAGGATTTTCTAATTTTTAAAGAAAAAAGATTTTAAAAATTTAGGAGTAGGAGAAATTAAAAGAAAAAAAGTTATTCAAAATTAATTTATTATTGGAGAACAAAAAAAATGCTTTAGCGAGTGAAAAATATAATGTTCCTTTATCAGATTATATTTAAAAAGAGTTACTAAAATTTTGTTATTCAAATTATAAAATTATTTGAGTAAGTATACATACTGACATACATATATATATTTTCATTTTATTTTTATTATGTGTTCAATAATTTTTTATTATGTAAATATATTAATATTTAATTATTCTTTAAATACTTCTATTAAAATTTGAAATGTCAAAAATTAGCTGCAATCAACAAAACCCTTGCATCGTACTGTTTTACAAAATCCAATATAAAATTCTATATTACAAGAATAGGCACTCAATATAATTTAAAAAATTTAAATCTACATAGGACCATAAACATAGGATTTTTTAAATATTTTAAGTTAAAGAAAAAATAATCATCAATTTCAGAAGAAACATAAAATAATTTCGAAAGATATTGAGTAATAATATGGTTGTCTTTCCCAAAATATAAGAACTGCATACTGTTTTATAGTATAAAATAGTAGTTCTGTACAAATATTTTTATATAGTGGTAATAATATTATTACTCGTATAGTGGTATATTATTCGCAAATACTAACTGAAGCTCAAAAATTTAAATGCAAAAAGTACCCATAAATAACCACGCTTTTTAGATTATTTTGTCATTAAAGGAACTTCGTAGGCCAAAAATAATCAACGTATTTAATCAACATTAATAAAGTAATTACGATATAATTAATACGATAACTGTAATCCACATTATTAGTTTCATTTAAATTTTATTTCAACATTTTTTTCATCAAAATTTCTAAATTTGACCATAAAAATATCTTGAATATTCCATAAAAAATACAGATGTTTTAAAATTAGGTTCACTTTTATTCACACTTTTAGGATACAAGTTTTGTATAGTTGAAATATTTTTTTAAATAACATAACATAACATTCGTATAACTTCATATCAATAATATTTCATTTTACATAACGTTAATCATATTTCAACAACACATACATAGATACATACACAATAGTGATTCATTCTATATTTATTTTTCTTGCTACTCGCATTATTAAGTGATTAAAAATATATTAATTAAATTGAAAATTTCTGTCCTAAAGGAATAAATTATAAACAATTTTAATTTTTTTTTCTTTACTCTGATTAAATTATACAATATTATGATAATAATAAGTATGAATTTAACTGTTAATATTAATTAAATTAATATTAATCATTAAATTTTAACTACTTACATACATACATAATGTCATATTAAACAAATAGTGATGTTTCACTAAATTTTAATAATTCATCTACAAAAAAATAAATAATGAATTAAAATTTTAATTTACATAAAAACAAAAAAAAATTTGTGAATATTTTTAAAATAAAATTGTGGCACAAATATTTATTTATTTATTTATTTTTTGTCAATGTTTTTAGATATTTACTGTTGTTTCATATTTCTGCTTTTTTTTTAATTTTCAAAGGACATTCATTAATCGCTTTATTTTTTTTTTTTTTCATTTTTATTATAGTAAATTTTCAAGGTCATTAATAATTTTGTATAATTTTGTAATATTAATATTATATAATTTAATTTCATTATTATTTATTTTACTTAACAAAAAACAATATACATGTATATGTAAAATATAACAATATAATGTATATGTAAAAATAACTTATTATTATTTTTTATTTTGTGTAATTTTATTTTAATTCACTAATAACCATATAATATTATTGCGTCAATTTTTGATATGCGAGCATAAAATAATACAAAGTAATAATATTTTAATTATAATTACATTCCTTTTCATAATACAAAATTATGTCAATACAAAATTAATATGAGAGTAATGATTTATTGCCGAAAAATATTTTGAGAAAATAAATATTTTATTTTGAAATTCAAAATTATTTGATTTTTCCTATTATTTGATTAACTACGTAGATATTTGTTAAAAGAAAAAAAACTTTAAAATCGTAAAGTCATAAAAGCTGCAATTAAACAAAATGGCAACACCACAAGAAAAATTGGTAAAGCAGGGTTAATATGTGAAAAACCAAAATTTATTTAGTTTTTATTATTCTTTAACTAATGCATTTCATGATGGTTTTTTATCAGGCTGTTATCAATTCTTATGTCAAAATTATACCATGCGAAGATACAAAATAGATGTGTTAGCACGTTTTCGTTCTTGTTTTCGCGCTCTTGACGAAATTTCAGACCATTTCAACATCTCTTCGGATTTGAACTCGTATATTTATACCTTTTTTTCTTCTAATTATTTATTTAAAAATAATTTCGTTGTATTACTCTTGAAAATGTCTGGCTGGAGAGCTATGGAGGTATAAAATCAAATTAAAAACTGTTCGCCAGAATCGGTTGTTTTTGTAACTAGATATTACAAAATTTGTTAATATTTGCTTTAAAGATTAAATTTTGTTAAATTAGTTTTCGAAAGGCTTTTGACCTTTAATGATATTAAATTATGATTAAAAAAAAACATTCAACGATTCAGAAGTGTGAAATGTCAGTAGTTATTTAATTTAAAATGACTTACACATATACAGGAATGTTAATCAAGCTAGAAGATTAATTTTACGTCAAATTATTTAATAATTGCAGTTGAGGAAGCTTAACTGTAACTAATAAAAAAATGCTCTATTTAAACATAATAAAATGTAATTAAATTATTTTATGATGTCAAATACCATTTTATAATTCTTATAAACTTCATATTATTAAAACTATAGGTACTATTTATTTGTTTGCTAAATTTAAAAAAAAACTAAGAAGTGATAAATGGTAGATAGTAAGGTTTTTTAACGTTTATCACTTTTGCCTTTTAGAAGTTTTCAATAAACAGAAAATTTGGTTTTACGCATGTTTGAAAACTACAAATACTCAGAAATTGTTTGGTTTTTTAAAATTCAATTATTTCTAAAAAAAATAATATAAAAATTTTGTATACAATCGTTTCCAATTTTGAGAAAATTCGTAGGTTCTTTTCCAAGGGAAAATGTTCAATTTGTTTAAACGTCACAATTGAAAGCAGGCCATACAGCAGTTTCCTTACTTACGTTTTAACTTGCAGTACATTTTTGTTATAGTACATTAGTACAAAATTAAATTTCTGCATTAAACATACATTATACATACATTTACACTTATTCAATTTTAGTAGCTAAACTTAACTTCTTGTAAGTCAACCATATCACAGTGTAATTTACACCATATGAATTTCTTCTAAATAAAATTTTACGTACCCAAGTATATGAGTATGTATATGTTAATATAATCCTTATATCTTCATACATATACGCAGTATAATTTATATGTGTGTACATTAAATTTTATTTATTAGGTTTCTTTGTTATTATTATTTCATTTATATTTTCTGAATATCATTTTGATTAATGAGTATTTGAATGAATATTATAATCAAATTACATAATATTAATCCTTATATAATATACCTATATAATGTATATACTATATACAAAACATTAATAATAAGATACAAACATGCAAACATACGAATTTATGTGAAACAAAAAATGTGTGTCTGAAATAATACGATGTATGCATGTGTATCTGACTATGTAAAAAAATAAAATAAAAATTATTTTTCTATATGTACAAAAATATCCGTAGTATGTGTGTATGTTTCTATATGCAATTATTCTACAACATAAAAAATATTGATTTTATATGCGTACATTCATACATGCGGCAATAAGGAAAATTTAAGTTGACTTAGCACAAAATCTTCATATTACAAACACATTCAAGATATTATCGAGAGATTTTGCTATTGAAATCTATAACCCAAAAAGGTTTTTATACAGAACAATATTAAGAAGTTTGAATTAAGCGGAGAAAAGCACCTCAAAAAAAATTTATAAAATTTGGAAAATCTAATAAAATTCAGAAAAATGTTAGTAAAGCTATCTAAAAAAATTGGAATCTAATGAAAAAAGAAATTTTTCAATATCAAATGGCTAGGTACAATATAAATCTGTGTCATCGTTTGAAAAATGGCACTTCATAAGCGCCAAAAAATAAATTTTACAGAAACAATGAAAAACCAAATGCCTTCTGCATTGTTTTAAACAGGTTTGACTAGGAAAAACCATCATAACTAGACTATGATAATTGGTATCAAGAAATACTTATATGAAACACAAACCGTTACAATCACGTACAGTTACACATTTTAATATGCATCTGTTTTTGTGCATAGTAAATATAACAATATTGATGGTATGCTTAGTTTGTTGGTGAGTGAGTGTAAATAATTTGGCGCAATTTTATGAGACTCATTAGATACATACAAGTATATCAGAATGGTATGGTTGCATTCCGGCCTCAATAAGTAGGTCTTGTACTTCAAGTCTTAAACAATTGATTTCTTTAGTTAATAAAACAAATTTGGTAATGGATTACCTCTCTTTCTATTTCATCTTCTTTTTTTTTCATGACTTTAGAAATTTTCCCCTTCAATATTTATTCTTTTATATTTATTCGCACACATTATACATATTTCGTTGCCATCTTTTAATTGTCAGTTGAATCTCC